AGCTTCAATCACTACCTCGCTTTGATGTCAAATAGATATAAAATATAATGTAAACTGTAAAATATCGATATYAAACTCAGCTATTTCAGAAAATGTTGAATACTGATAATGCATAGTGTATCAAAGGCCGCAATAATTGTTGTTATAAAATTTTTGATATATAACGCGCGCTCTGATTGGCTGACGACCGTGTTTATATCAGAGTACAGAGACACGGCTTACCGGCAAAATTTTCTATTCGCTCGAAAGATTTTATAAAAGAAATACAAAACGGCCGCTTGTGTCTCTGACCTCTGATATAAACACGGTGGGAGTTGAAAAACACTCGAGAAGCAAGCGAAACACTCGCTACGCTCGTGTTCCTAAGCTTGCTTCTCTCGTGTTTCTCGAACTCCCACCGTGTTTATATCAGAGGACAGAGACACGCGCGCCGTTTTATATTTCTTAACTATTAAACTCTACATTAGCTACTTTACAAAATGRCAATTCTAAACATAATTGCATTTCATATTGAAGACTGTACTGAGCTCTGGGAGCTGGTRTAGTCACTCTGAATTTTGAACAGCGATAGTTCAACCAACAMTGCATTTCGGTCTTGAAAGTTTTCTGAGCTGAGTAATTTCTCTACTAAAAACACGTGAAAAGCTTTGTAAGAATATTTCTATAAAGTTACCATAAATAWGTCACTCTTATAAATACCACTTCCTGGTCCAATATTAGACTCGATGCACGCAAAACTCCTATAGGCTTAATAGATGAAATATTTGCAAGATGTTTTTAAAGTTCGTAAAAGAAATATACAGTGAAACATTTTAAGACTGCTACTAAKATGAATGCTAAATGGTTTCTACGTTATCAGAGTAAACAGCTGGACTATTAGCAAGGTTTCTTTAAAAAGAATGAAAATAAGACATAGTCTTGGACTCACGTGTGGGAGTATCCACGTACGTTGCAATTTATGAGAATGTTTTCGTGTTCTTTTGTGTGGAGTATTTGTTTACATATTGTAAGATTAACTACGGCTTTATGTAATCATAGTTTTGTAATCACACCAAAAGCAACAAGAGGAATATTTTGAAATATAATAGCTTTGTCAACGTATTTCCATATGTGACTGTGCTTGAGATATAATCGTTCCTATTTTTACACATTTGCCTCGACGTTTGTGATGGTCATTGGTATAATAACGGGAATATTAACCTAAGTTGATTTGCTTGATTGGGGTGGTCCAACAGACGTCTCGTGTAGTTAYTCTCCTCGGTAATATTAAAACAGGGAACCCAAAACGATTGCTAGACGAGATGTCTTTCTTGTCCTTAGGAAGTTGTGAATGTACTAATATTAGGATATTGTGCTTGAAAGATGTGAGCAAAGCATGATTCATCGCACCGAAAAGGATGTCGAAATAAAAAAGTGACGTTTTAAATTTACATTGCAAACACAAGCAAGACAAACACAGCCTCACGTCATCACCGACTGATCCAAAAATTAATAAAACACACCTACTTATGCCGGAATCTTTTCCTAAGGAAATTGTTAAGATAGTGTCATAAATAAAATTCGCATATTAGTGAACGATGGAGTAGTTTAACAGTAGCATAACAAAACATGGATGGATTAATGATGTAGCTTTTCCGCTTGGCAGKAGTTGTGACGTCAATTAAACGAGTTATGAACAAGGAACCGCCCTTGGGGCAAAGAACATAATTGTTTTCTGCCGCTTTCGTATAAACACTTTTAAGTATTTAATTAAAATCTGAATAGAATTTTGGCTATTATTGCTACAAGTAATATTGTAATTGYGCACAGCGTGTTCCTGTGCCAAAACAAAAGACTGTGAGTATGATAGCAATATATGACAGATTTTTTTTTATCAAACGATAGACTCTTATAGGAAAAGAACTTAAGCGAAAGAGCGCTAAACTTTGTTTTTTTTCCCCAATATTGTATTACTCAACAAAGATTGAAAGTATTTGACCTCGAGTCTTGTTCTTGCTCGTTATTGGAAGATGGACGTGATCTTTCGACCGCGCTTCAAGTGACGCCATCTCGGAAGTCGCACTCCCATGACGCAGAATCATGTGACATCATCTCTGTTTATTTCTTACGAACAAATGGAGCATCGATTGTGGAAGACACTTAGAGGCAAACAAAACGAAAGAACGAAGAGGATATCTCCATTCTTAATGCCAGTCAAGGATTCAGGGAACAAGCATTCGCGTGATCAAACGGGGARTATTCACGGTCGAAGTCATCTTGTCGATACAGGGTTAACAAAACAATCTGTTAATAATTACAAYAGTTTTACGTCTCCGACAAAGTACACGATTCCTCAGCAAACGAAGACTAGTATTCAAATGCACCGTARAACTTTAGAAACTCGAGTGCCGATCAACTTGAAGACAGGCGGCGGGTCTTACATGCCGATTCACGAGCAAAATATCATTTACGGGTCAACAGCATTGTCTCCGAAGAAACCTAGGGACACAAAGATAGACAACGCTTCCAGGAGTAAGAAGTTTAGCAAGAAAATTGTGTTAAAAGAACCGAAARTTTTGTCACTGCCAAGAATAACTTCTTCTTCTTCACAACGACAAAGAAGCAGATCTATCCAAGCAAAGAAAGATGTGCAACAGTTTGCAACACACCTGAATCTCATAGATGGACGTCGTAAAAGTCAAAGCTTTTACAATACAGACTCSAACAAGGCACAGGCGTTATCTAGTCAGCAAACTCAGGACATACACTCTCATTTTCACTTAGAAACAGAACTAACTTTACCAAAAATTACAATGGATGAGGTCTTAAAAAGTTGGGATGTACATCCAACGATTCCTTTGAGGAAGAGGTCAGCTGGGAAATATGATCCAATGGACTTTTTAATCCGCCAAGAAATGGAGAGCTCAACTTCTGCTGCTTGTAATCTAYCTAAGCACAGTTACGATGAACTAAAATCTTGCAGGTATCTGAGACTTGATAAAAAGTCTGAGGAAGAGTTATCGCACAAAAGATGTTGTCCCTGTAATTCGTGTGAACACGGACAAGGACTTAAAGAATCGCCTTATTTGAATGCATAAGGCCTTCTAGGACCGTCTAATCGCCTTATTTGAATGCATAGGGCCTTCTAGGACTACAAGGACTGAAAGAATCGCCTTATTTGAATGCATAGGGCCTTCTAGGACTACAAGGACTTAAAGAATCGCCTTATTTGAATGCATAGGGCCTTCTAGGACCGTCTATACGTATCATATCAATCATATCCTTACCCTTGTACAAAATATTTAAAGCTGATTTATAGTAGAGTGCACGCACTTAATCCGTGCAACTGTACAAAATCTAAGTAGTACTAATTTGTACTAAAAGTGGACCTGAAGCGAGACGGTATCTAGAATGCTTCATTTGTATCAATTCAATTTAATTTGCGTACCGCATGCACGATTTACTAAATACAACTAAATAGAACTATTTAGTTTGTACAGTTGCACGGATTATGTGCGATCACTCTATATCATTGCCATTGTTATTATAAACATACAATATTTGATTTACTGGAGGTTCGCTTTGTAAAGTCACTGGAAAAAATCATTTGCATCAAATTTACATCATTTTGGACACTTACATCGTATTTACAGCAAATTTACATCCTTTTAAAGTGCGCGATTTTTTCCAGTAGTATCGGAGAAAGAACAAAATAAAAAGTACCAAGTGTACCAAAGGCAATGGATTATAATAGGCAAAGATCTGTAGAATCGGAATATTCAAGGGCGGTGCACTAGCACATTGTGGAGCCTCCGTCTTGAATTCGAAGCTCGGGATTAGACTCGAGGAAACATTTAAACAATCCGTAAGCGGAATTATGTTAGCTAAGAATTAGCGTTTCTACCCGCATTCTGGAATAATAATATGTAGTAGACTACGTAATATAATACGTAGTAGACTGCCTTCTTAGTTTGTGTGGGATACCTGTGGCACTAAGCGACGAGGGTGAGTAAAAGGGCCTAGAAATAGTCCTGATACTACACAGGAAGCCCAGCAACCCTTTTCTCAACCATTTTAGTACTCAGTTTAGTAATAAAGTGTATTTGTTTTAGACGCGTGGATCTTTCCTGCAGTGATTGAGCCAAGTTTTTTTGCCCACTTGTGTTGCAGACTTTATATCACTAAACTTGCACTGATTGTTCTCTACAGTATTTTTTGTTTTTGTTTTTTGTTTTTCATGGTTTTTGGTGCTCCACCAGTAAAGAAAAATGACAGCAAGAACACGCAGTCGATCAGAAAATTATTTTGTACTTTATTATAAAAATAATTAATATTTTATTTACAATGAATGAAGTAGAACTCATATATTAATATCTTTACATAATCATTGTGTGAAGGAAATAGTTGTGGCTCTCTCTGTGATAATAAAGAGCTTAAATATGACGTTCACTGCAAACGGCAGAAAAGATCACGTGACCTGCTTTATGAGGGTTTACCGTTACAGTTTCAAAAGGAGGGTGGGTTTTTTTGAGGTTGCCATAATCGTGAAAAGTCGCTCTGTGAAATGACTACCAAAAGTAAAAGATCAGGCGCGAAATTCGTAGATCATTGGTTCAGCTCTGCCGTAAGCCGTTTGCCGTAAACGTGATGCTTAAACTCTCTAACAGAGCTGATTTCGTATGAGTGGGACACCGTTACCGCACGGTTACCGCACAGTTACCGGACCTGGCCTGCAAAATTTTGGTGAACCAATGGGGCACTAGAATTTGGTTATAGTATGATTACGGTCACAGTACAGTACCGTCCGTTTCCCACTCATACGAAATCCGCTCTATTACAAAACTTTACGGAACGAAATTCCACCATGCTGGATTACAGGGGCGAATTTTGCATTTCTCTTGTGGCGGACATGATGACTAGCTCTGGGAATCATAAACTTTTCAAGTCCATTTTATACAGTAGAAGGCAGTATTAACGAGTTTAGCTTTTTCTTTTGCCGGCATTGTAGTCGATATTTTCTTCTGAATCTAGCTCTGTAACTCATTTCCACAAAACGTCGTTTTGGCAGTCACGTGGTATACTGATGTCCATATATGGTGAATTGCCAATTGTAAAGTCATGTCCATATTTGGCAAAATACACATATTAATACTGAATCTTTTAACGTGAGTATTTCGGAGTACTCACGATCCAATCTCTTTGCCATTTAATAGCTTTTCCATCATGCGTGAGTTGTATGACTTTTTCGTCGATATGACCACGATTTCTACTCGAATAATCATGCTTGAGTCACTATAGAGTATATTTCTCTTCTATTGCAACTTGGCTATTGACATGGCTTTTCCCTTTTTTCCTTRCTTTCGCGGTTCAAAACAATCAGTTGTCTTGACTAACCCTTCCCATCATGCCTTGCATCACAGCAGATTTCCGTATTTTAGCATTCATGCACGATCTTTCTYCAAGATCACATCACACCATTACAGGGCTGGAACTAGGACTTGAAGCTTTACGATTATTRTTCTTGAAACTGTATCGCTTCTCTGATGTGGACACATTGTTCAAATTGTCYTCAGCAAGACATGATTTATTGTTCTGTTTTAGTCGACAGATAACRAAACTGTTCATTATAACAAGAATAAATATGACAACAAGAAGAGGGATGACCACATTCCAACTTGGCTGCGTACCTGAAAGAAAAGACTAAATTTAGTCATCTGAAAAAGTGCGCGTTTTCTTGGTTACTTGAGCGAGTAGTATCTCAAATATGCAGTGAAAGTTATCATGAGCTCCGTGTTGGAATTGAATTGAAATTATAGGGACCATATTGGGTCATGTCCACTTTTTAGTCAATTTTGACCAAGGCCACACCCCGCTCTAACAAAGGGCCAACAGTATTGCAACCATGCCCATAGGGTCTCATTTTATTATAAATGCCAACAGTGTAGTGTAATGAATTTTAAGATGTTGAGGAAGTCCTGTAAGGTGTTCCGTTTTGATAAAATATCAGTTTTGATCGTGTATTATTGTATTATTGTAAACCCATTTCGTTATGGGTACCTTAGAGATTGTGCTTGCATATTGTGTTATGAATATATCGGTTACATGAAAAGGTCTCAGTGAAAAGGGAGATTGGACAGCTGACCGTATTAGTTCTTGACGTGCTTACCGTGGTCATGCGTACAAGGCTCCTTGTTTAATTCCCTATTTAGAAGATGTTCAATGCTAGCTTCAGGATCTACTGTAGTAGTTTCCGGTAAAACAACTGTTGTACTGCCTTGTGAGCTTAGCGTTGGGTTTAATGTCATTCTTGGATCGTCACTTTGTAACGCCTCGTTCTTTGTAGTAGTAGTAGTACTGTACTTTTGAGTCGTAGGACTTGGTACTACTTTTACAGGAATCGAGTTGGTCTCTACTGGTTTTTGCTTAGTTTTAAAGTGTTTTGATGGTTGTTTTGCTGTTGTTGGAAGATATGTGATTATGTTGTTTGATTGAGGTTTCTTTGAAGTAGTCGGTGGCTGACACCTTGGATCTATAATAAAGAACATGAAGTAGTTCAGTTACAAAACCTAGAACTGTCTCTATGCATATGATTCTCATTCAAACCAGACAAGTCCTGCTGGCCATGTTTCATTAAGTTGGATAGTTAAGTGAATGGCACTAGAATTGAAGGATTGCAAACTAGAACAATCGCATTCAATACTGCCTCAGGCAGCTTCAGTCTATCATCTTACCTCTTGGTCCTTTGCAGACATAGAACTTTATCTTCATGCTACCACGAGCACAATTCCCACCAGCACTATTACCAAGAGAAGCTTTCGTTCCATCGGAAGTAGCTGAGGKAGAAGAATTTATGTTACATATAAGATATTCCAGTGACTATATAAGATGAGCCACTGTTAGAGTGCGAGCACTTAATTAGTGAAAAAAATATTGATTTGATCGTTCCATCGGAAGTAGCTGAGGGATAAGAATTTGTATCAATTATAAGTTATTCCAACGAAATTATAAAATATAAATATTGATCTGATCTAATTATCTGTTTCGATGAATGTAATTCTGGTAGTTTTCTTACCAATAAAATAGTATTCTTTTCCAACGGGGAACTCTAAACCTTGTATCGTCGCGCTGTACTGAAGGAAGAATATGGTGTAGTACTTAAGCTTTAACGGCGTGTCACACCTTAAAAGTAATCGGTCCGTTTTAGGTGAAGAGGCGTTACAGTTATCATAGCTGTTCTTTGAGACGATCCACAGATTCTCGTATAACCACTCCTTTGGAGTGTTGTCTTGTACAATGTCCACATTAGTCGCTGTATTAGGACATACTATGTTGATTCTTGACATCGATTGGACGTTGATTACTCGAGAATTCTCGGGTTTTTGGAATCTGTTGACGAAAGATAATGGTTAAATAAAGATATATATAACGTATTACAGACGATAGTCTGCACGTGCATTGGCCGCGCCCTTTTTGCTCGTACAAAGTTGACATTGATTTTATGACCAGTGACTGATTATAATTCTTAATATCTGAAAAGTAGTCTCTTGCCACTTAAATTTTTGAGAGACACGATGCTCATCTCTATATCTTTCGATACATCTGAGCACCCATACCTCAATCCCCTACAATCCCTTGCCAACCTCGTTCCCACGCGCTTTGTCGGCTTCAAACGAAGAAAAAAGAGCCTGGGAACGAGGTTGCTTCCTGACAAAATGACCCAGCGCTTGATAACCGATGCATGGCAAACAAAAATATTTTAATTCCGGTTGACCGTCGAAGCCTGTTGAATTGGCCAATCATATGTCTTTAAATCAGATGGTTCCCCAGGCCTCTGACGGGAATTGAGAAGGACTGGGAATGTGATAAACACAATGTATATTGAATTTATAGTAACTGAGTTGTTAGTCCCCCCTGAACGTCTGAATCTGATCCAATGTCCGGATATTTACTCTAGATAAGGATTCTAATGAGATTGGGTCWGTTATCTGTGATACAATCAGTACCCCCTAGAAATAGCACCCTGTTATCAGCTGTTCAATCGCCTCATTAWAAACCACAAATCTATCATCTTGGGTTGAGCCTTATACATGGAGCTATGTCTGAATRATCAATCGAGTAAGCAGGATATTCATAGGGTATTGATGAAATTTCATTTCAATRAAAGTGATGTCGGTTAGATTCAAAGAGAAAGGGATTAAATTGAAAAGACTCCAACTGTCTTTGTTAATAACTAKGAATCTCGTAGTGAATTAGCAAAAACGATACAGTGGCTGCCATTAAAAAAAAACGTCACAAAAATGCTACTTCTCTAGGTAGAAAATGACCTGTTATTTGGCTGACTAACCTTGGTTCTCATTCCAAACGAGTTAAAACTGTGAATTTRAATTTTTCACATATGAAGATAATGAATGATTGAGCGATAGCGTCCCCTGCAATGGACTTCCTACTGTTTTCACATTAAATCTGTATGTTTCTGGACTCGACTGATCGCAGACGCAGTGTGGGTTAATTTCAAACACATATTCACACGTAAGGTATATCACGATAGATGTTCTTTTTCACAAAACTACTAATATGAAAGTATTTTCTCTTGGTATACTTTAAAGATATGAAAAGTAACTCTGTTTATCAATTTGCAGCGCTATTAGGCCATAACACCACCAGGCTCGTGTCATATTACTGCATAACATATTTTTGTTTTTGTCTTTTTCCAATGATGAAACAGTTTGAAAGAGAGAACATTCTAGMATTGACGTCAATAACTGTTGGTATTTTGACTACCATTGAGCAATTTTTTGCACAATTACAATACGTATCATACTGGGTTAAAGATAACCAACAAAATGAACACGATTTGACATAAAAAGCAAAAATAGAGGGCCGAAAATAACGAGGCAAAAACTTGAGCTTCATATGGGGGCAACCGGAAAATAAGGATTTTTATTTCAAAAGTAAAAGATGTAAAAATGTAATAATTWAACCTRAAAACCGCGTCTTTTGTGCGCGSCTATTACATGATTGACATTAAATTATTATGACTTCTTCTTGGAYATCAATTGTGTAAACAATTTTGCAATGTTTAAATTCATATTGATGCTCGCATTTTGTCTGTTTCAAAAAATTCATCGACTTTGATGTTATTTGAACCTTTTCTAAGGAGATTACTTTTTAAGCTGAGATTAGATCCACTAGTGACTTCCAACAATTAGCAAAATGCTGCAGAAAATGTAAACATCTGTCTTAAACATCACGAAAAKTAGTAATTTGTACTTTACTATGGATGGAAAAGAAATAGGAACTGAAAAATCGATTAAAAGTTGAAATCTTGAAATGACTAAAATTCGCAGAATTCTAACATTGTATTTAGAGAGAATTCTGACCTAAAACACTAATGGTATTCTTAACAGCCTATAACTGCCGGTGATTTGGCTTTATTAGCCGGACTACCCGCTATGAAAACAGCCGAACCCTCGTCCCGGCAGTCTCCGAACTTTGCTTTAAAAGTCCAAAACTTTTGAGAATTGAATGATCAGAATGCCGTATTAAAAAACGATCTTTGGATGGCGGTGCGCGGAATGCACACAATGCTTCGCGTTGGGTCGACTTTAGGGGCTACGTCTTCAAAACAATRCGGCCTTTATACCCATATGGTATCATCATCACAACTCCATGGGGTTGCACAATAGTTTAGTTTGTATTTGGTAAAAACATGTTCGTAAAGTACGTCGGAAGAAGTTACAAACTAAAATAGGAAAGAGTAATAATACAGTGACGATTGAATGTTTTAAATGAATGTACAATCTCGATAACCTGTTAGGAATAAGGATAAATTTTGCAAGAGATAGCAAGTGGGAAGTCAGTGAAAGCTTCTAATGTCCACAAACAACCATTATAATGCCATCTGAAGGGCTGTCTATAGATGGCCAAGGGTTGTATAAGATGGCCAAGGACTGCCAGACCGCAAAAAAGCTCCCCTCGATGTGGTATCGATTTCTCTCGTCTCGTCCGTTTGTCCAATTAGTATGCCCATCTCATCCATAACGGAAATTTTTCAAAGTGTCGAAAGGAGCGGTTGAAATTCTCAGACATTGACCTCAGTGAGAGAGTGAAAAAGCTGGGGACGTTTTATCCAGCTAACTTTGTCATTTATGTCTGCATGTGCTAAGAAAAGCGCATTTAGTATTAATCACAAAAAAAACCTTGAAGGTAATAAGCTAGATTCCATAGGTCTATGAGCAGAACACCTTTCTAAATACCCTAATAGAAAAGGGATTTGGTGACCTAATACCCGTGATCTCTAGGTACATTTTGCTAATTCAACTCTCAAATGAAACCGCAAAAAGAATGTTTCCATTTGGTTCATTTAGTAATTTCGTTATTGAATCACCGAATGTTAATAATATAGAAAAGACAGGAAGTTAAGAAAACCTTTTAGACAATTATGAGGACCTATGGTATCTGAACAATCTTACACCATAGACAAAATTGCACCCTGGGCAAAACAGGATATCGTGAGAGAAAGAGCTGTCCTTTCTAAAACTTGATGTTACACCATAGACAAAATTGCACCCTGGGCAAAACAGGATATCGTGAGAGAAAGAGCTGTCTTTTCTAAAACTTGATAGTGTTGCGGTTTGGGGTAATTTCCTTTTAAAACTGTGATCAAAGGGGAAATGAAAGAGATGTTTTCCTATATACAGCGGGGTTAATAAAAAGCTTCTGTCGACCTACTAAGCGTGATTCTGGGCATATGATGTCTCGCCCTGTCCATTGTTGTATGAAATGAGTTGAATTTTGTACACTCAATTACTAAATAATTCAATTTATTTTAATCCGTCTGGACGTGTCACCTCGTGGACACCTTTTTGTATATTTTTCATTTCGAGTCCATGCAGGTCAGGTATAGTGCTCGAGTACGTTGTGAGAACTACACGGCGTACATACGCTGTGTGTACGAACGGTGCCGGATCGTCTGCGGTGGAGGGCTATCTTGTAAATCTCATAAACTCAAATTATCGCCAATAAATAAAGTAATTAATTGGTTTACAATAGTTTGGGATGAACCCGATAAATGGATATGCTGAAATCATCGCTGATTCCAATAAAGATATGAAGTAATCGCGAACGACACGCACGAACAGTATCTCTTCCATCTTACGTTTTACGCACGTCCTCCGTAACGCTTCACACGTTTTCCCCGACGTTTTCATAACGATATAGAACTTTGAACGCTTTTGTATAATAATTACTCGTTATATAGTATAACACAACAAAATTACCGTTTTTTTCTAAGGTATTATAAGTTTGAGCGTTTTTGAATATTGTGCATTGGATATCCTGCGAAATTCCATCTTATAACTATCTCTACAATTGGTTAGATAAACACAAAGATGTTTACAATAAAACCAGATGTTTCTAAATAACATTAATGATTAATGTATAGTCCATTAGAGTCAAATACAGGGACATGTAGTTACATGAAGTAAGAATTGAGTTTCTTATTGTGCTTAACGAATAACAACTGAAACGTGGCCATTACCCATAAAAAGTTATAACTGAACCCATAAAAAGTTATAACTGAAGACTAAACTACTGCTATCTTTATTGTTCATGACTATTGAATCGGAGCAAGAAAAGAAAAACACAAAACATAACAACGTTTTATAGCAAACAAACTTGCATTTATTTTTCAAAGAAAGTTTATGAGATCAGTGCCGAATTCCTTCCAAAAATACATGTTCAGAAGAATTCTTCTAAAGCAAACCGCTTCCCCATAGTTTTCAAACTCAATTAAAAGTTTTCAAAGTTTTTCACTTGCTTGATTATCTGTGAAATTATAGGCACGCTTTTTGTTGAAGTTTACAGAGAAAACAACACTGTGTTTGCTTTCTCTAATGCAAGACAAACAAAGTTCCATTCTCGAGTACATGACAACTGTCGCCTTWCCTGACATGCTAACTTGTAAAACAAACTCTCGTCAAACTAGTTATTCACAATAAAGACATATAACGAACAATAGCACTCAAAAGAACAAAGCCCACCGTTTGAAAAGCTCGCTTGTACTTACTGAGAATACCTTAAACTTATAACTTAGATGTAATTTAAAAGCATAAAAGAGCCCAAACTTTGCACATCGATTTTCTAASTTTTGAAATAATGTAATTAAAATGCATTGATTGGTAATGCAGTGYTCGTCTWACCAAATGCTTTTAGTAAGACAGTACAAAAAGGCCACTTGTGTCCTGTCAAAAGTTAATTGCAACCACAATAGACTACCAGTCAGGGGGGGTTCTTATCTATCGTAAGTAGCCAAGTAAAACACCATTCTAAATAAAGCATACTTCAAGTTCAGAAAGTCCTTTAAGTTCTTAGCCTAACATCTTAAAAGTTATGATAATRCTRGGGAGKGTAAGAAGCTTATTGAATCACAGCCAATATTAGRGTGCAACATAACTCATTATCGGCCAAGACCTCCACTGGAGTCGCCTTAAGCGTTTCAGAACCCTTTTTACAATATTGGTTTTAAAAGTGCGTCTATTTTTGTTTTTGTTTGGTTGTCATTGTCCAGAGAGGCGCCGAATAAATAAAGGAGAAAACACAACAAAAAACGAATGAATGCARAGACGTGCCATAATRTTSAATCCAGCCTATCGGTATTAGTTGAGCTAGCTTCAAAAAACACGCAGTAGCAAAGGAATGTTTCACAAATAAAAATCCTAAGTACTCTATTAAACCATTTCTAAAGCAACTACTGCGCCCAAAACACACTCAACAAGCTGATCAATAGCAAATAATCCCTTAAAATTACAGCTTTGTTTTTTATGTTTTAAAAGCTTAAAAATAAGATAATCCGATGTCTTTGCCGACAAAAGCTTTTGGTTTGATATACACAATAAGAGATGGTTGATATTTCGAGTTAATGGCGTACTGGTCGTTAGTGATGCTGGCAAGCGATTGCGAGAACAATACCTGGACGACTAGAAAAGCATTAACGCACGTTGTGGGTGTATTTTAAGTCCGTTTTTCTTTGTTCTCTTTGATGAAGTACTTGTTGCTGCGAGTTATAAAGGCCTTATAAACTATTAGTCATATATTTTGCCCACGGCTCAAACTCAGTTGCAAAACCAATATTTGAATTCCTGCTTCCACAAAAGATAGGCTACATTATAAATAATTATATGTATAATAGATAACAAAACTCCTTCTTTCCTTTCTAAAGAAAACTAGATTGCTGCAACTTGGTACGGTCAATGATTAAATAATCTTCATGAAAAGGTTCAAAATAATGCAAATAACAGTATTGGAATGCATTCATAAAGATCCTTGATCGCTGCATCCAGTTTTGGTAGAATGATTAAGTAACAGGTTTCTTGCCTTTTTCAAAAAGACTATAATGTTATTTGTGCTATAGAAATGAGAATAAACTATTTTCATTAGGTAAAGATATGAATATATATATATATTTTATTAGGCAAATCTAGTTTTTGTGTGTGTGGTGATTTGGTTGATTTTCATCACTTTGCATGATGTTGCATCACTATCGAAGCTGATACGCTTCCTATCGATAGACTTTGTGCAGCCTCCTCCTCAAAGAACAAAGCTCATTTAGGCGACGATTGAAGATGTTTCCGTCCCTACTCAAAACAAAGCATACACAAAGCTAAAGTTTCAACTATGTTTACGTAAAAAAGCAAAGAGCACGTTCCATTCGATCCAATGGGCTCCATTTCCAACACCGTATTTGGGATACTACAGGGTAATCGGCCACCGTGGGAGCCTGACTYTTTGCTCGTTATAACAAGATTTGAATTCTGGCACCTTTTCAGCAATGTTTTCAAAAGTTTCAGCATTGTTTGAAGATTAACAATCTACATAATTACATAATATGTAGATAGTAGTTTTACATAATATCTAGATGTTAACTTCAATCCGTGAGAAAACTATGTTACAGGCGTATTAAATAAAAGTGAATGAGAGGGAACGCCCCCAGAAATATTCAATGTTTTCTCTATGAATTGTACCACGTTGTGGCAAAAGATTCGTGTAGAATTATTTCTGACAGAATGTTTTCATCATTCTTGCGTGTTTAAAACTGATATTGAATTCAATTTTGTGGCAAAAATACAAGAGTTTGCGGTATAACTGAGCTCCCGCAGCGAGCACTGCTTTTCACACTCATCTATTAGAAGGAAGTACTTGAATAACGTGTGAAGTTGATTGCAGTGCGTTGAATAAATCAATTGAGTTGTCACATTGCAAAATTCCWTCGACATTATTACACAAGAATTTGACTTTCTACGCAATAAAGTTGGAATGCACTGATTGCAAAATCACATTCAAAAACGTTGGTTATATCAACTTTGCTAAGAAAGATGAACTTAGTCCACCCTACAAATAATCCAAATAACTGAGAAATCAGTTCCAAATGGTTACATCATGTCTACCTGCGCGGTTGTATTTCACGTGATTCTCAGAACATATGAAAGCCCTAATGAACAAACTATGATCAAATTATTTGTTTTAAGAATGAAAAMCCCTTACAAAACTAATTACACAGTTTAATTAAATTTATATTAAGAAATATTTCTGGACAATGAGGTCGCATTTTTGGTCTAATTTGAGTTCCATTGAAAATGGTTTCGAGTGATCAACTTCAACATGATTCGAGAGAGATGCAGGGTGATGACTGAGATGATACGAAAGACAAGATTGCAGATGATATCACCAGTAGATGCTGGTGAAATTTTCATTRTCGTATCACGGCAACTAAACTCTRCACATAAASCCTAGACGGAACCGCACTTAACAAAGTGTTGAGTTTGAAACGCGTTGCAACTCACTGAAAGACAATGTCACAGATGAAAACTGCGACGTGATTAAGACATTGCRCTCCATTCTTGAACAGGACGTCTGCGCAAACACTTCAAACTGAAGCTTTTTTATTCCCAAAGAACAACATTTTAGCTACAAAAAYGTTTCCCTCGAGATAGGCTATCGTCAATTTGATGGAATAATGTCTGAGCTACATGACAAGTCAAATCCCTCTTAAGTCTGTCATATCAAGACTATAATTAAACAGTGCTTTCAAAGCTAACAGAAAGGCATAGTAATAATGTTTTCTTGAAGAATRTCCTCTAATTTCACAAGTCTACCATGCCTACAAACAAGGATTATTATTTTCGGCTGAGCTTCGGGAAAAACAATTAAATTAATACGCAAGGAAAGGTGACCTTTGATTTCCTATGGGTCATTTGTGGTAAAAAGGGTTTTTACTGAAATCTTCACAAAATTCCATAATCTTAGCTTAGTCTGTCATATTTGCTCGTTATTAAACCTCTCGCAGAAGGGATTTTAAAGGTTTATCGTAATTAGATGTCATAATTTTTTAAGAAAGAAAGATTTCTTCAATCTGTGTTGCGATGTCTGTTCTCGGCGCTTAGCTAGCTATCGGTCAGAAATGAAGTTGGTCTTATCTGCGAGTGAGGAGGTATATAACAATATGATCTAAATCCAACGCTCGTAGGATATCGAGAAACAAGATTGTGCTCTTGATAGCGGTATTCCTGTAGACGCAAGAGACTTGAACTGCTCACGCTAGCTTATCCAAACACCTTAACAAGAAAACTATCATGAATAAATAATAGGTTTTTCGCGTCCATAATATCCAAATCTTCCTTAATTCCACGTGAAAGGCACTTAATCGATTAGCATTCCCTCTGTTCTCGAGCTTCAAAGCGCAAAAGGAATGGATTAAGGTCGTGACTACATGTTTAAGGGCTTTGTTATTCCACTAGATAAAATATGAAGCTTCACTATTATTACACAGAAAGGACAACAAAAAGCCCTCACACTGTGTCAACAACAAAATGTATGTTCATGGAATACAAACTAACTTACTTCTATTCATGTCTATAGCTACAACAACGCGCGCAGTGCTCTTTACAACCTTTGCTAATGTTATTTGCAGAGCTACGTTTCTGTTTTGAACTCGAAGACAGAAGCCTTAATGAATTAGCTGTAAAGAGAATATCGATTTACCGGAAAAGCCAATTTAACTACAGAAGAACATTGGACGTAAACCACAGACCCAGTGATTCACTGTTCAATGAACGAGAACCTCACTTCTTGACGGAAAATCAAAATAAATTAGCGAGTSTATGCTTGGGTGATTTGATGATTACAAATCAACAGTCAATGTCGATTTTTATTTTCTGTTCAATAATTTTTGACTGAAAGTTGAACGTAGTCGCGAAAACCAAACAAACTGTTTCTTTATAACTTGCGGTATGCAGTTATTATGTATTTACACATACTCACCCCAAAGCKCTGTCAGTAAAAAAACGACTACCCCAAAGTACAAACTCCGAAGTTTAAACGTTTTTATGGATGAACGCTAATATGYCTTTGTTTGGGTTTATTTGCGAACGCAGTTTGGTTTCTTTAGTTGAGAGATTTATAACCGAATTATGCTCTTAAACCTTTTGTACACATTTACACAGATGATAATATTTTACAAAGTGCGCTTGGGTTTTAGTCTCCATACTGTACTGTTCACTATAGCAATTGTTTATGTGGAATAGTAGTCGTTAAAAGGTACTTACATTGGGTTACGCGGTGTCCACTGTACTGATGGATACACAAGTGATACTGACGGCTTCACAAGCAAAATAACCTCAAGAATAAGCCAACCAGTTAACATYGAGGGAACCATAATTATTGTTTCTGTCCAAAACATGCGTCTAATAAAGCTGTGTTTTTCTTGTGACAAGACGTATGAAATCCGCACACACACCGTAACCCCACGCGTCTTATATTCGAACTGGTAGCGAGTGACTGTAACTCARCGGATGACAGATGACTTCTACCTTAGGTTAATCCCGAATTGGGGTCTGGGAATCAGACATAAATACATAGAGGTGTCCTCATCGTCGAACACTTCCCATTCTTGTGGCGATGATGGCTGTGTTCGGCATCCAATGAATATTCAACATGGACGGATGTACCCAGGAGATTCGAATCAACTACTCGACGTGCGGTATATGACAGCTGCGGTTCATTTGAAACCTACATTAACATCACTAGTATAAATGATATTGCCCTAGAATACCCGAGTCTGACACTCGGCCCTGTAGGCTATCCCGAGGGGGTCGCTAGAGTAAACTCCTCCCCCTTTCACTTGATTCAGGGGGGTGCACAGTTGATGTTCTATCAAGCGTAGCGACAAATTCAGGAAACGTAGATCCGTTTATTTCATTTCCGGGGGAGAGGTTGAATGGCTTTTCTCTCGAGAGGGAAATTGGCTTATACGAATCAATAGCTCACTGAATTATTCACACAACTGYGGAAAATTTGGTTTTGGCGCGACCAATCACTACGYTTTGAGAACCAGGCTTCCAATGAGTCAAAAGCACCGCTTCAATATAAAGTTATTCATATAGCCTTGTGAATTAACTTTTGAATAAAAACATAAAAAGCTATGAATAGAGTCTATATTATCAAGATACAAGTACCCATAACAAAGAAACATCCTCATTGTTAGAAAATGAAAGATTACCTCACAGTTTCGCTTGATCAAAAAATTCTCACCAAGCGATTGTTAAGTTCTGTTGACTTGGTCAGTCTGTGGGTCAGTGATACTCTTCCCAGTGGCGAGCCACAATTAGACTGTTGTTTTGTCGCGTGTGCGTGTGATGTTGTTCTGTGTTTATGATAACGAATCAGCGATCATTCTGTTATCAGTCWTATTTATGGTACAGCTAATGCAATCGGGTGAAGAAAGAGGACCATCAATATTACACTATCACTGCTATTGTGTACTATGAATGTATTTTTGGCRCTAAAAGGGTTTGGAGAGCAAACAGAACAAATGCACGATTCAGAGTTTTGTATCACTTRTTTTAAGGGCGTTTTCGCTTAGTCTTTTCACTCGCGTCTACAAAAGCTTTGAGGCAAAGGGGAATTCAACTGATTATTAGAAACTAAAACTGTGTGTTCAGTTGATCTTAATGTATACGAGATAGAAATTATGATTCGGAGAAATGTAAAACGGCCTTGGGGATAAACAAATCAATCACTAACTAACGGCACAAAAATATCGCTTTTAAAGTACAACGGTATTTTTCTCTTCCGTGTCCTCCGGAAACGGGTGCAAATGCCACTATCCTCTTTCTCTTCAGCGACTTTTATATTCGTGCTACAGGGGAACGCTATCAATGCAAAATACTAGAGAATCTGTTGACAAAACTCTTCAATTTTCGAGACGAGAAACCTTCGCCTTGACCCGAGGATAGACTTTGATAGTCTGTCACTACAGATTGCTCGGGCCAAAAGTCCACGTCACGTTCAAAARGGAGTCGAAAGATGGAACACYGCGCTCTTCTTAGATGGTTTCAGARATCTTTCATTTTATCRCMCYGCGAATTTCTTTAATGTAATTTCCTGAAATGAGTTTTCAGTAAAAGGTTTTCGTTAGATAGTGATAATAACTGTAGCAATAATCARTGTTTCATATATTCTTTTAATTTTGATCGCAATAAATGACTTTATAATTACGTTCAAACAAAGACAGCGACTGTAGTCATTATGGCTTGTGGGAGCGTAGCTATCTTTATGGACCAGATATGTGATAGACAGAATAGTGCGCGACTTATGGATTCTAGTTTATCTGGTCACCAATTGAATACATGTGTATGGGATTAAATTTGATTTCTTACAAAATCCAATGAAAATGTGGGCGGAAACTTCGGTACTAATTTCTTTGTGCAATAAGGGGTTATTTTTTCCCATGGTTTGAAGAACAAACTCTTTTTGCCAGACCAAGTATGTAATTCCTTCACTGATCCTCGAGCGTCTGGTCTCATCATTACAAGCTAAGCAGTCGCGCTGGGGCTGGGTTCAAAAGCGAGCGCTTTTTTGCTTTATCAATGAATGTGTCAGTACAGTGATGTATTGAAAAAAGGATCTGATGAAATAACTGATAATACAAGTCATTACAAGGGTTTTGGGTTTATATACATGACCTAAGAACGGCTAGTGTTTCAACCTTATGACGAAAAACTGGAATGTAATGCATGGCGCGCGCAAAGTGATGATAGTTAACAAGTATTCCTCTTGGACAGCGGTTTTCTTCGTCGAGAATGCGTACTGAATCCACTTCCACTTATCTATCTGTTTTAGTCTATCGCAAATTGTTTAGACACTCGTATCGTCTATCCAGGAAATATCCGTAATGCCGCAGACTAGAGCTAGCGGGATTATTCATTACGACCTCAAGAAAGAGACCTCTTCTGAGACGTCTGTTTGAGGTATCGCCAAGTTTTTCAACCAAATGGAAGTGAAAATGTTTTGTGTCTAATTCTACACTAGTAACGACCACAATGTGGTGATGGCAAAATGACATGTTTCCTGTCAAGACAGGTTTAGTTACCAGTCAGTTCCGTTTCCCGTTTCTACATATGAAGTCCGAGTTATGAGAGTCTCGTCTATGTTTTCACGTAGTACATGCACACGCAAAAACTATGAGGTCACTTCCGGCAAGGTAGGCAAGGAGCGAGACTGGGCGGATTAGCTCATAGCTACGAGTTAGTGGACGACGTTTATGGTGATTAATGCTCCATGCATTGTCGTCTCGTGGTTGTAAGATCACTGTCTAAACTTTAATGATAGAGCCGTACTGTTGTGTAAGAACCTTGTAGCTTCAAAAGAATATGGCTACCGAGTGAGAATGGCCCTACCGTCAGAACGAAGCTCGTGATTGATCGAGAGAACAAAAACGAAGAATTGTAGAATTATGTTAAACAATGCTTATTGTTCTACTGGACATCTTTTTTGTATTGTCTGTCTCTCTTTGTTATTTCATCAAATCTTTGTTCTAGTGTACACCCCCAGCCTCATAGCAATGCCAGTAACGCGCGTCACATCCCTTCACTGTTATTTTGAACCATAGTCTGCTGAAGTGTATATATGTATCTTAATTTGTGGCACCCCTGGCGCAAAAAAAGAAGTCAAGTCAACACCCAAGACAATTCTATTTCAAAATCATAATATGATAAAGAAAAATAATCCCAAATTTGTATGATACCCAAACGATTTTTTTTAGCAAATTATTTTAAACCTGCTGTACGAATGTCTTTGACAACTTCATGTCAATTAGCAGTGTTTGAAATGCAAGGACAATCGCAATCACATAGCACACGCAAGTAAGGCATTGTTCCAGCGGACTGACTATAACCTGTCTCAGATTGCTGGTGTAGTCAKTCGACYYAGTACCTCGATAACATGAATTGTGTGATGCATGGGAAASTGAATCGACCGAAAACKTATACTTCCATAGCTGTCAATCGCTTTATCAGTTTATCAATCTGTATTGTTGGTCAAATTTTCCTGTACCATTCTCCACACCTTTGTTGAGTTTGACGCGTTGAAACGTAATTAGGCCAGTCGCGATAACATCTGAGGAGGGAAATCGAAACTCCGCAGATATTAAGTGTACGCAATTAGAATGTTACAACGCTCAGGCTAATCTACCCACACAACTAGTTCTCCGCCACGCCTTTGTTGACGAGACCTCGTCGAAACGTAGTTTAGAGTTGCGATAGCATCTGAGGAGGGAAATGGAAACTCCGCAGGTATAAAGTGTGCCTGACAATTNTTCTGTTGACTTGGTCAGTCTGTGGGTCAGTGATACTCTTCCCAGTGGCGAGCCACAATTAGACTGTTGTTTTGTCGCGTGTGCGTGTGATGTTGTTCTGTGTTTATGATAACGAATCAGCGATCATTCTGTTATCAGTCWTATTTATGGTACAGCTAATGCAATCGGGTGAAGAAAGAGGACCATCAATATTACACTATCACTGCTATTGTGTACTATGAATGTATTTTTGGCRCTAAAAGGGTTTGGAGAGCAAACAGAACAAATGCACGATTCAGAGTTTTGTATCACTTRTTTTAAGGGCGTTTTCGCTTAGTCTTTTCACTCGCGTCTACAAAAGCTTTGAGGCAAAGGGGAATTCAACTGATTATTAGAAACTAAAACTGTGTGTTCAGTTGATCTTAATGTATACGATAGAAATTATGATTCGGAGAAATGTAAAACGGCCTTGGGGATAAACAAATCAATCACTAACTAACGGCACAAAAATATCGCTTTTAAAGTACAACGGTATTTTTCTCTTCCGTGTCCTCCGGAAACGGGTGCAAATGCCACTATCCTCTTTCTCTTCAGCGACTTTTATATTCGTGCTACAGGGGAACGCTATCAATGCAAAATACTAGAGAATCTGTTGACAAAACTCTTCAATTTTCGAGACGAGAAACCTTCGCCTTGACCCGAGGATAGACTTTGATAGTCTGTCACTACAGATTGCTCGGGCCAAAAGTCCACGTCACGTTCAAAARGGAGTCGAAAGATGGAACACYGCGCTCTTCTTAGATGGTTTCAGARATCTTTCATTTTATCRCMCYGCGAATTTCTTTAATGTAATTTCCTGAAATGAGTTTTCAGTAAAAGGTTTTCGTTAGATAGTGATAATAACTGTAGCAATAATCAATGTTTCATATATTCTTTTAATTTTGATCGCAATAAATGACTTTATAATTACGTTCAAACAAAGACAGCGACTGTAGTCATTATGGCTTGTGGGAGCGTAGCTATCTTTATGGACCAGATATGTGATAGACAGAATAGTGCGCGACTTATGGATTCTAGTTTATCTGGTCACCAATTGAATACATGTGTATGGGATTAAATTTGATTTCTTACAAAATCCAATGAAAATGTGGGCGGAAACTTCGGTACTAATTTCTTTGTGCAATAAGGGGTTATTTTTTCCCATGGTTTGAAGAACAAACTCTTTTTGCCAGACCAAGTATGTAATTCCTTCACTGATCCTCGAGCGTCTGGTCTCATCATTACAAGCTAAGCAGTCGCGCTGGGGCTGGGTTCAAAAGCGAGCGCTTTTTTGCTTTATCAATGAATGTGTCAGTACAGTGATGTATTGAAAAAAGGATCTGATGAAATAACTGATAATACAAGTCATTACAAGGGTTTTGGGTTTATATACATGACCTAAGAACGGCTAGTGTTTCAACCTTATGACGAAAAACTGGAATGTAATGCATGGCGCGCGCAAAGTGATGATACTTAACAAGTATTCTTCTTTGGACAGCGGTTTTCTTCGTCGAGAATGCGTACTGAATCCACTTCCACTTATCTATCTGTTTTAGTCTATCGCAAATTGTTTAGACACTCGTATCGTCTATCCAGGAAATATCCGTAATGCCGCAGACTAGAGCTAGCGGGATTATTCATTACGACCTCAAGAAAGAGACCTCTTCTGAGACGTCTGTTTGAGGTATCGCCAAGTTTTTCAACCAAATGGAAGTGAAAATGTTTTGTGTCTAATTCTACACTAGTAACGACCACAATGTGGTGATGGCAAAATGACATGTTTCCTGTCAAGACAGGTTTAGTTACCAGTCAGTTCCGTTTCCCGTTTCTACATATGAAGTCCGAGTTATGAGAGTCTCGTCTATGTTTCACGTAGTACATGCACGCGCAAAAACTATGAGGTCACTTCCGGCAAGGTAGGCAAGGAGCGAGACTGGGCGGATTAGCTCATAGCTACGAGTTAGTGGACGACGTTTATGGTGATTAATGCTCCATGCATTGTCGTCTCATGGTTCGTGTAAGATCACTGTCTAAACTTTAATGATAGAGCCGTACTGTTGTGTAAGAACCTTGTAGCTTCAAAAGAATATGGCTTCCGAGTGAGAATAGCCCTACCGTCAGAACGAAGCTCGTGATTGATCGAGACAACAAAAACGAAGAATTGTAGAATTATGTTAAACAATGCTTATTGTTCTACTGGACATCTTTTTTGTATTGTCTGTCTCTCTTTGTTATTTTATCAAATCTTTGATCTAACAGTATTGTACACCCCCAGCCTCATAGACTTACCAGTAACGCGTCACATCCCTCCACTGTTATAACCATACTCTGCTGAAGTGTATATATGTATCTTAATTTGTGGCACCCCTGGCACAGTTTTTAAGGAAGAAGTCAACACCCAATACAATTCTATTTCAAAATCATAATATGATAATGAAAAATAATCCCAAATTTGTATGAAACCCGAACGATTTTTTTAGCAAATTATTTTAAACCTGCTGTACGAATATCTTTGACAACTTCATGTCAATTAGCAGTGTTTGAAATGCATGGACAATCGCAATCACATAGCACACGCAAGTAAGGCATTGTTCCAGCGGACTGACTATAACCTGTCTCAGATTGCTGGTGTAGTCAGTCGACCTAGTACCTCGATAACATGAATTGTGTGATGCATGGGAAASTGAATCGACCGAAAACKTATACTTCCATAGCTGTCAATCGCTTTATCAGTTTATCAATCTGTATTGTTGGTCAAATTTTCCTGTACCATTCTCCACACCTTTGTTGAGTTTGACGCGTTGAAACGTAATTAGGCCAGTCGCGATAACATCTGAGGAGGGAAATCGAAACTCCGCAGATATTAAGTGTACGCAATTAGAATGTTACAACGCTCAGGCTAATCTACCCACACAACTAGTTCTCCGCCACGCCTTTGTTGACGAGACCTCGTCGAAACGTAGTTTAGAGTTGCGATAGCATCTGAGGAGGGAAATGGAAACTCCGCAGGTATAAAGTGTGCCTGACAATTACAATGCTCAGGCTAATTTACCCACAAAACTAGCTCTTCGCCAAGCCTTTGTTGACGAGACCTCGTCGAAACGTAGTCTAGAGTTGCGATAGCATCTGTGGCGGGAAATGAAGTCGTCAAAACTACATAGTTACTTTGTTGGGTAGTGATGGAGGCCTGTCTTAACTCACGTACGCTTTTATGGTTTACAACAAATCATCACTTGTGTTTGTTAGCTAAGTAATTTAAACATATAATATTGAGATATTATATGGGACAAGACTCCATGTCATCAAAACTTGACAGAGAGCAAACAGCAAAATTGACCAGMTATGTTGAAAGTTTCTCTTGACCGTCCATTACAACTAGTAGCTATCTTTTCTCTCACTTTCGCTCATGTCTTGTTGAACGGAACTGTTTTAGAACTAGTCAACTTCTCCTCAGATTGTCTACCAACCGCGCCTTGTTGAACGGTCCTACTTTTTATTTGATAAAGATCTGCAAAAACGTTTATTCCGGCTCAGCCTGTTAATACGAACAAAATGGTTAGGAACTAGTGGTTTTGTTTGGGTGTTGGGCGTGGATATCTRAATAGAAATGTGAATCGAAGTCTTGACAATTATGAATGTAACAACAAGCTTAAGTCCGGTACGTGATGTTGTGCTCACCACCGTCCTTTCATTGATCACTTTGTGGCCTGGTCCTCCTCTTATGTCCGCATGATAACAGTTATGATGTACGCTGCGAAACTCAATCCATCTCCGGTTCTTTACTGTAATGACTTAAGTAATGATTCGACTTCTTTTTTGGGGTACAAATTGTGTTTTTATACCATCGATTACTCGAAAAGTGTTTGATGACGCGCACCCACAAAAATTGGAGAAATGGCGTTCTTTCCAAGATAACGTTTTGGACTTCACTGCGAGAGCCATATTGAACGACAAAAGGCTTTCCTCCAATTAGTRACTGTAGAGGACATGAAATCAATAGCAGTGAAAGCCAAAGGTAATTCATTAAAAGACGCCCCTAGTGCATAACATCAGTTGGAGAAATTAGCATTTTGGGGTTCATGTGTATAAATCATGACTTCGTTAGCTTTTGTAAGAGAACACCATTTTAAAATGTTCTGGAACACGAAAAACAATATACGAACTCGGCTCTTGCACTCGTGCTTTCAAATCTTGCTAGGAACTATTTTATTCGCTTAAAAAAGCTACAAAATTATGTAAGTAACAAATGAGTTATAAATATTGCGCACTGAGTCATGCCCTGAGGCATAGACCAGATCTAAAATTCACTGTAAGACAATTGACGTCCATTTATGACGAGCGGTATTTACAAGCGGTTACTGTCTCAACAACATTTCATGCTGACCAGTMTATGCCGCGAATATCGGTTGAAAATCTCTTCGACATTCGGGCTCCCTGTGTCCAASKGGATCCCGAGCTTAATAGCAGCAACTAAGCTACTCGGATATTTTTGATGCACGTGATCTTACGCCCACCCTTTGCACTAAATGAACATGAATGAATGCGTATTTGAATGCCCGTCTGTAGAAATCAAGTTTCACGTGTTTTCCGGCGTCGTACATGTTATCAGAACGACTTCAGAGTCAKTAGGTGATTGAGCCGYAGAYCCATTGCATGGACGTGTTAATTGTGCGGTGTATTTCTTACAGTCTGAATGGAGTTTAGTGAATTTGTAAAGTCGTATGGCCAGATAGAGAGTGGACGCTATGAATACAACGCAGACGAGGCCCAGTATTGCTAATCCAAGACGATAAAACACTTCAATGGACGCAACGTAATGACTGGTATCTGAAAATAACGAAAACCTATTATTTTTTTCTTCTTTGAAGGATAAGGATTCGTTCTGTGTAGCTGCAGGACAATTACTTCACTTTCATTATATACTTTTCAAATGCAGCACAT